TGTGTGTGTGTGTGAGTGAACCGTGTGAGTTTGGTGCCGATGAGCTGTCTGGACTGCAGTCGCTCCTCATCTGTCTGTACAGGTAAGATGTTCTTCTCCTGCAGATCTCTCTGAGACGGTCTGTTACTCAGCTTCACCGCCAGAGAATCCTTCCTCAGGATCTTCAGCGCCAGAGTGCCTGAACACACACACACACACACACACACACACACACACACACACTCTCTCTCTCTCTCTCTCTCTCTCTCTCTCTCTCTCTCTCTCTCTCTCTCTCTCACACACACACACACACACCAAATGAGCTCTGACTGCCTCATTACAAAACGAGAACTAGAACAAATCAACGAGTCTGCCGTATCCCAGCAAACACGAACGGTTTCAAGACTAACTTGTAAAGAGCGAATCGTCGTCATCCTCCTCCTGCTCTTCATCCTTATACATGCTGGGCAGGTCCTCATAGTCAGACTCGTTGGGGATGTTCTCTTTATCATCGTCACAGTCGATCACCACGGCCCGGAGTGGAGCGCTGTACTGACCCGCGTGAACCGCAGAGCTGAAGGAACACAACACACCAGCGGTCATGTGACAGCGGAGACGTCTGGGTCAAATACTCACAAAACCTCTGCCACACACACTTCATACATCCACTAAACACGGAGACTTCAAACCTGATGAAGAGTTGTCAATTAATCAGTGTTTTAAACGAATCGGTTGAGTGAATAATTCAATGACTCACTCATATAGTCACCTACTGGTGTATCTGTGTAACTGCAGAAAGAGTCTGTACTGTCCAACCCCTCCACTAACACACGGACTGACAGTCGCTCTGAACACAGACGAATGCAGAGACGCAAACAGTGAAATATTTCAGTGCTTCAGCACTGTTAGACGCTGATAATACTGTAATTGTTGTTTTAATGACGTGGAAGCTGACATCGAGTAGGTCTCTCACTTTGTAAAACATGAACAAAAATACACATTCTGAGACAAAATACCTTTGAGGATATTTTTGTCTTTCATATTTATATCATATGATGTAGTTGAGCGATATCACACAAGCAAAAGTGCCGTTTTCCCTAAATATCTGCACAACTGAAAATATGATACTTGTTTTATACAACAGCTCAATATACAAAAAGTTATTACATTTTTGTTCCATTTTACCAACAAAAATACTTTGAACCAAGGCAGAGCAGAACAACTGCGCATCTCTGAGCAACACACAGCAGTGTTTAGTTCCTGAATGGATCTGCATTTTTGAACGAATCAGTTGAGTGAATGATTCAATGACTCAATGACTCACTGCATTAAATAGTCAGTGTAAAGAAAAAAATCAATTTAAGGGAGCAAATATCAGCTCTTAATGGAAAGTTCATTTCTGTCATTGCTGTAATGAATACAAAGAATATGAGTCAGCCGTCCACGACAGGCCTGAAAAGCCAAGATACATAAAAACACACTCCGAAAATCCTGTGAGCTCCAGGAATATTCTGACAATGGATTCAGTGCTGTATGCTGAGAAACGATAATGATCTTTGATCTTTTGACATATAAGAGCTTGTTGTACTATACAAATATAGACTCTTGCAAGTTTCAGACCTCAGAAAAAACTCCTCACTGCAAAAAGAGCATTTGTTAAAAAAAAGTCGCTAAAGGGGTCTGAAAAGTCACTAAATCTAGCGACAAAGTCACTAAGTTGGCAACACAGTCAAAGTCCATTCTGCGAATATGATCAAAAATGCTGATGCTTTTTGGCTATAAAAAAAAAAAACACTGACGAGGAAAGAGTTCAAATGTAATTTAAATAAAAACAATTAATTCAATCCATTATTAAAAATGTTATTCCTCATCCTGCCTTAATGTTTTCTCCAAACAATGTGCAATTTGAAGGCTATGAAAACAAATCTAGAGGCTATGCTATACAATATATATAAAAAGGTTAAATATAAACATTACATTTTAAAACAAAAACAGCTGCTTGCTTACCATTTTACACCAAAAATTAAAATCACTAAATTAGAAATGAGAATAAAACACGCACTCATCTGAAAAGTAGTTATATTACATTTATATTTATCCATTAACTCCCTTTACTCTTACTGTTCCCTTAAAAATACAATTACTTGTGTTATATGTAGAATTTTAAACCTACATTCAAAATTAGAATGATTGCATTTAAAAAATGTGCATTATTGCACTTTCTTCTATAGTTGTCTGTGTTTGATGCGCATGCAGTCATTCAGTGAAGTCTGTGAAGCTATCAGGACTCGCCTGTGTGCTTTAAACAGCACATGTATCTGACAGGACAAGCTGCACTGAACTATGCTTATCAGTTAGTTTGAAGCCTTCTCACCTTTAGGTCACTTTTCCCGCAGCAGCTACTCTGTGTCCTCTGCTATATGTGGCCCTGGACCACAAAACCAGTCATAAGGGTCAATTTTTCGAAATTGAGATGTATGCATCATCTGAAAGCTGAATAAATAAGCTTTCCATTGATGTATGGTTTGTTAGGATAGGACAATATTTGGCTGAGATACAACTATTTGAAAATCTGGAATCTGAGGGTGCAAAAAAATCTAAATATTGAGAAAATCATCTTTAAAGTTGTCCAAATGAAGTTCTTAGCAAAGCATATTACTAATCAATTTGACCCATACAATGTATTGTTGGCTATTGCTACAAATATACCCCAGCGACTTAACACTGCTTTTGTGCTGCAGGGTCACATATCATATGTGTTTTGTTCATAGAAACTCATGATATACTGCTGTACAGTGATGAGAGCAGCAGGTGTTTTCCGTGCACAGCATGCAGACGCTGTGATAATCAAATCCAGTGTTGATTCTTTGCATGATGCATTCTAATGGATTTGATGGATAATTAGATGAGACGCACCTGTCGAGTCTCTGCATGGCGAGCGCCAGCGCCTTCTGCAGCTCGTCGATGATACGGTTCGACGGGTGACTGTACTGAGAGAACGAGAGCGGCGTGGCCGAGGACGAGTACAGCATCAGCTTCTTAGGAGGCAGAGGAGGAGACGGCTTTCCCTGCAGACACGACACCTTCAGCGGCTGACACGAGTCTGGACACAACACACACACACACACAACCATAAAATAACATTCTCATCAGCTGAAATATAATAAACATGAACTGAAAGATACAATATATGTGACCCTGGAGCACAAAACCAGTCATAAGGGTCAATTTTTTGAAATTGAGATTTATGCATCAGCTGAAAGCTGAATAAATAATCTTTCCATTGATGTATGGTTTGTTAGGATAGGACAATATTTGGCTGAGATACAACTATTTGAAAATCTGGAATCTGAGGGTGCAAAAAAATCTAAATATTGAGAAAATCATCTTTAAAGTTGTTCAAATTAAGTTCTTAGCAATGCATATTACTAATCAAACATTAAGTTTTGATATATTTACGGTAGGAAATTTACTAAATATCTTCATGGAACATGATCTTTACTTAATATCCTAATGATTTTTGGCATAAAAGAGAAATGTATAATTTTGACCCATACAATGTATTGTTGGCTATTGCTACAAATATACCCCAGCGACTTAACACTGCTTTTGTGCTGCAGGGACACATATGTAAAAAACGTATTTTATTTTAGCTGTTAAAAACCAAATAGACATATAAAAAAAAAAAAACTAATAGAAATGACAAAGCCACACAACACAATTACTAACTTCATAGTTATATTATACTATATTTTAATGGAGGGACAGAAATCTCTCAGCTTTCATTACAGTATCTTTGCAGGGTTTCTGCAGGTTGTTTGACAGCATATTTAAGACCAAATAAAGAAAACTGAAGGAATAAAAAATACAGAATAAAGTTCTCTACATTTAAATGTCTAGGAAGCACAGTTTGAAAATACAACTTCAAACAGATCTTCACTACTTTAATTAATCTTATTAAAAAAAACCTTAAGGTTTGAACCGCTCTGCTCCCAGACACTAGAATATAAAAATATATTTTACTGTAGCTTCTGATCACACTGTAATAAAGTGCAGCTCTTCCTCAGTATTTCTGTCTTGTTTTCCAGTTCAAAGGATTCTTAAATCAAGACACATTTACTGGAGAAGCACAAGGACAGAAGAGAAGAAGTTTTGATTTATAAGAAATGGATCAAAATGAAGTGAGTTTATGATTTAAACAAGAACAACGTATCTCCCAATGATCACAGAAAAAACTACTTAAAGGAGACATATCATGCCCCTTTTTACAATATATAATATAAGTCTCTGGTGTCCCCAGAATGAGTCTGTGAAGTTTCAGCTCAAAATACTTCACAGATCATTTATTATATCATTTTGAAGATGCCTATTTTGAGTGGAAGCAGAAACACGCTGTTTTTCGTGTCTGTCTCTTTAAATGCAAATGAGCTGCTGCTCCCCGCCCCCTTTTCCAGAATAGAGCTGCGCCATTACAGCTCGGACCTGCTAAAAACATCTGTTTTGGTTCTGATTATCATGTTTATCGCGCTGAAATCATGTGTTTTAAACCATATGAGTTTAAACTTCTGATATAGGGTTTTCTGAGCGCACACATCCGAAGCACACGGACCGAAAGCGGCTGTCACAGCATGTGAGTACTAAACTAAGTTCTCATTCACACACAAGTTTACGTTAAAAACACACAAGTTACAAAAAAACAGTGGGTTATGTCTGTGAAGGTAAACAGCTGGGAAATAAATCACATGTTTATTTTAGATCTGTGTGGCAGCAGCAATATACAGTAAATAAATAAATAAA